AGGAGCCTTAAGAGCAAGCGCGTTTAATCTCTGAAACTGTGTGTGAGGAGTCAGTCAACGCTCTACCAAAGTCAGGTACTCCGCGGTGTCCCAGCAGGGTGGGTTGGGTTTAGCCCCAAGCTGATACTCCATCGTATAGGTGTGCTCCGCGATCAGACATATGTAAGTCATAAGGTGACTGCCGGAGGCGCCCTTAGATCGAAAGCCTTCGACTCGATCAGGTTGCGGTTCATTGCAATACAGCATACAGTGCTTCTCAGCACACCCCCACTTAGCTAGCACACCCCCACTTAGCTACTAGTTAATTGATGAGGGCGAAGCCCAGATCAACTATCACCTCATAGAAATCGAGAGTGAATAATCCAATTGTTTTAGTAGAATCTCAACTAAACAATCAAGTTCATCCTCAGAAACCTATGAGGAAAACGCGAGCCGGAAGCCATTTTTCTTTAAGAATGCGCCAGGGAAATGATTGTTTTGGTACTCGCTATCTATCAAGGAATAGATAGCGAGTAGAGTAGCTAATCAAATTACAGCATTTGCAATAGTATACTAGTACTACTAATTGCATTTATTTACTGCTTCTTACCTTGAATAGTTCACTAGCTTTTTCTTGGGCTTCGACATAAGCTTCAAAATCGGCTAAGACATAAAACCTGTCGAGACAGAGGGAGACATATTGTATATCAATAACGAGAGGGCACTCGATGACTACATATACCTCCGCCAGTGAATTAAGTTTGGAATCATTCACTGATCTATCAGTGGGCTAACTGTACATTCAGTTTACTCTGCCTGGCAAGGCAAAAGTTTGCTTATTTCTCATCCAATAAATCATTCCAGCTATCGTCTAATTTTAATTTTTTTTATCTAGACAAGAAAGACGAAATCTATCATAAATTATATATTGCTTAAAAGAGCATCCTAAAATTAGTAAATTTGCAAACTTTGCTTGCGAAATGTTGTAAAATACGGAAAATATGGCCCTGTGAAATTAGCAAATTTTCAGTATTTTAGTATTACGCGTGGAAAAATGCACCACTTTTGATCCGAAAGTGGTGCATTTTTCCGCGCGTAATACTAAAATACTCAAAATTTGCTATTTCACAGGGCTATATACTTTCTTATAAATTTACAACATTTCGCAACCAGACTTTGCAATTTTACTAATTTTAGGATGCTCTTTATAAGCTTTAATGATAGATTTCGTCTTTCTTGTTAGATCATGCAAAAAATAGTCGATAGCTGCATGGAATCACCCATTAAGAAGATACCTGTCGTGATCCAGCAAATGCTTGAGGATCAGATGGTTAAAGACATCTTCTTCGTCAGGTGTAAAATATCCTTGTAAAATCTGGTCAATCGCTTTCTTCGCCTCTGGGATCTTTTCATAATAATCTCTTGGATTGTACCTGAAATAACAACAAATGATAATGGTGATATTTGCTGTCTTGGTGTCATGTACTCAGGTGAATAAGATGCTTGTGATGTTACTCTGAGTGTATATCCACACCGGGCAGGCTTGAAAAATATGCCTGGCCACGGTGGGAATCGAACCTACGACCTTTGGAACGGATTTAAGATACATCGGGCTTAAAAAACTCATTAATAATTCACGAGGAAAAGGAAATTACTGCCGTGTCGGTTGAAGCTTCTTCAACAAAATTTGAAATTGTAAGTTTACAATTATACTAAAGAACGACTGTCTTTACCCGTTTTTAGCGAGTTCATCGACATCTTCAACTTTCATTCCAAAAATAAACATATTTTCTTCTCCCACTTCCTCGCACATTTCAACATTAGCTCCGTCTAAAGTTCCAATTGTCAACGCGCCGTTTAACTACAGTCAACAGAAGAACACTACAGTTATACAGTAGCTAATGACCAATTAATTTCCCATCATTTAATTATAGAGCCAACGTACACAAGATAAGAAATATTAGTTTTGAATAATCTGAAAATGCTGATTTTGCTAAAGCCCGCGGATCAAACCAGGATGAGAGTGCATGACAGTTGGCAGCCACGCGATCATGCATGGTTAGCTGATCTTAAATCTTAATGCTTTCCTAACACTATCATTTACTTTGGAACACTCGTGATGAGTCAGGCCTTAAAATATCTTTTACTGGGCCGTCTTACAAAATGTCCGATGACATTGAGTTTGGGTCGGACATATGTATGATGATGTCCGATAACCTTCAGTTCAATTTGTCCCGGAATAAGTCTGAATGACACAAATTAATTATCAGCATGCACAATGTATTAATTCTGAACTAATTGTTATGAAGATATTATTCATGCTAATTTCCAAGCTAAAATTAACTTGCTTGCCAATAACAGCCGTAGGACTTCGATAAATTTCTGGTTCACTTTGTATATAGATTACTCTGATTCTCAATTTAACATACGAGCCTCTAGTCCTGGACCAGGATACATTTTGATTTACGTCGGACAAAGCTACAGTTCGGTCGGACACCAGTACAAGTAGTATCGGACTAACAATAAACCTCAGTTTCGCTTATAGGTCGGACATAATGTCCGGTAGTTTCCTCTCTACGTCGGACAATTTCACGACTCGGTTGGACAATGTCCGTGACCGACCGATATTTTAAGGCCTGATGACAAGAAACCTTTATTTTGTTAATCTAGAGTTTGAAATGTTCCCTGTAACAATGCGTGGCTGCCAACTCTCGTCCTCGTTTGACCAGGGCTTCACAAATAATGAATGTTTATGAGTGCAATGGTAAGAATATTTTCATGAGGTGAAAGATGGAATGTTCCATTCAACGAGGCGACAGCCAAGTTGAATGGA